TGAACCCAGGAGGCGGAGGTTGTGGTGAGTTGAGATCGCACCATTGCACTCCAGCCTGGGTCACAAGAGCGAAACTCCGTCTCCGAAAAAAAAAAAAAAAAAGCGTGTAGAGAATGTGAAGACCTTTTCAGACAATAGCAAGAATTCCACTCTGGATGAAGAGAAATATTCATGTAGATGAACAAGAGATGATTAAAAGTTTGATTATGTGGTAGACAATCTTTTTTAGAAGACATTGGACTTAATTCAGTAGGCAGTGGGAGTCATCAAACATTTTCATCATTGGGGGAAGATGATTAAAATCTGATACTGGTGTGCTAATGGAATCTACTATCTGTATAAATAGCAATCCTGCAGGTCTTTCATAGAGATTACTTCATTAAATTCCATATAGATTTGAGGAAAAAGATGATTTTACTATTAAAAATCAGAATAAGAATGTAAAATAAGAATGTAACCCTCCTCATACTCAAATTCAACTATTTAATTATTGTTCTCTAGCAGCACACATTTTTTTGCATATAATAGAATATATGTTTTTTTAACAAAATAAGTGATATATAACATAGGAAACAGAAATGACATTTAATTTATAGAATATATCTCAGTAAAATATGAATATCAGAGAAGTAAAATTCTAGATGATGATTTTTGTTTTCGTCTTCATTATCTTGCTTAGTTTAGTATTCCTTAGTGGTACCACCTATCCTGTTTCTAGGGAGATACTCAAGGCCATTGCACAGTGGACTGAATCAATGCAAATTTTCCCTTTCATTGAAAGTGATTTCTTACTGTCACCAAGAAAAAACCAAATTGTGTTGAAATATTTCTGCTTTATTACTATAAATAGTTAAAAACTCTCTTTTAGCCAATACACATGATACAGGGAATATAAAATAAATAGAGGGTTTTTTAATATTTTGTAGCCTGAATAGGAGACAGAGTTACCTTGATAATGGATGAATCTTTCCTTTCTGTATGTGCATAATGGAGCACATAAGTAAGGAGCCGTTTGTGTAAGTCCTCTCACTGGTAGGATCTAAACTTGGTAACAATGGAGTTTGTAAAATGCGAGTTGCAGTCTTCCTGTTCTTGATATTTATGGACACAGTAGAGAAATGAGATGCTGTTGAGTACAAATGGATAATCTCTGGCGGAGGAAAATAGAGATAATTAAAATTTCACTATCAAAAATTTATTTTTTCATTTAAAAAATTCAGGTTTTCCACAAAGCAACAAATTAACATAGCACATCTTGGTCTGTGTGTTTTATGTATGTTGCTTAAAATGAAGTGTAAAGGTCATAAAATTAGTTAGAAAGGATATTCAGTGCATATAGCATGGTGTGGCACGCAAAGTGCTGGCTTTGAAGGCAGGCAGTGGTTCTAGTACTAGCCCTGGTAATTTGTAGCTGTGATTTCCTCCTATCATTTACTTTCTCCTCTGGTGAATATTAGCTAGAAATAAAGGGAGGCTAATTCATTCTTTACACTATCTTAAGAAGAGTAGAAGAAATTTGGAACACACTAATTGGACTGAGGCCTGAGGGTCTTTGATATATTAAAGTTTCAAAAGTCCTACTTATTTTCCTTAAAGTAGAAAGAAAGCCAAAGTTTAGTTACATAATTATTGATTAAATTAAATAATTATTGGATCTTGTGGTAAATATACTGGTATACCTGTGTGATTATATCTCTGTCAAATCTACTCTAAAACTCATGTATGCTTTTCCACATTTATAGATTATATATAGAGATTGTAATCTATATTATAGATTATATATGTAGATTATAATCTATATTATAGATTATAGAGGTTGTAATCTATATTTTAGATTATAGAGATTGTAATCTATATTATAGATTATAGAGATTGTAATCTATATTATAGATTATAGTTAAATAATTCATACTGAATTGAGAAGCATTGTATTTTATAGAAAATACCTTATCTGTTCTCCTCTGGGGAGCAGTTAAAATGTGAGTTAGACTAAGTTATCTCTTCATGCAATACTCTCTTAAAGCTTCATACCTCACTTTAAGTAAAACCCAAGTCCTGACAGTAAGTTATACTTAGGAAAGACATTCATATCTGTTTTCCTGGGACAGTCCAAGTTAGCCTGCTACCTCTGTGTAATTATTAATAGCACCCCCTTACATCCTTTCACGAGTCCTGTTCAAACGGTAAGTAATGGCCACCTTACTTATGAGGCATTCCATAATCTGACCGCTATAACCTCTCAGATCTGAGCTCCCACTACTCCACGCCTGCTTATTCTTCTCTAGAAACACAGGCTCTGTCCTCACACAGATGAGGCCCAGGCCTACCTCCGGGCCTTTGCCCTTGTAGTTCCCTCTGTCTGGAATGCCTTATCTTCTACATCCCCATGGCTGACTTCCTCACTTCTTTCAGGTCTTACGCAGTGAGATCTCCTTGTCCATCATATCAGTCAGTCTACTGAAAACAAAGCTCATGCCAGGTTTTTAGAGATAATTTGATAGAAGTGTTATGTAGGTATTAAGACTTGTTAACTAAGTGACTGTGAAAGGATCCATGAAAACATGAAAGTATCACAGAAGTAACAGCTGCCATTCCTAGTGCTGGGGAATGAAAGGGAAAAGGCTGAGATTAAAATTGAAGAGCTTGAAAGATGAGCCTCACAAAGCCTGGTCCCAAATGGCTGAGGAGAGGGTGCTGCCCATCTGGTATTGGCGTCTTTGAGCTTAGAGAAAGGAACCCATTTGGCCGTGGCTAGGGAACCTCTGAGGAAGAGCCCTCAGTGACTGGTGAGAGTATTTTACTGGGGATATGGGGATCTGATAAGGCTGTTTCTGTAAGTATTGGGAAGCAAAACGCAACAAAACAAAACATGGACACAACTGCTTCAACTGCAGTGCCTCACTTCTGCTGGGGTAAAGTGAGGCTAGGAAGACACTGGCAGAAGCAGGAAGCATGCAGAAAGCAAACAGGAAGTAGAAAGTCCCTTCTTCCTTCTCCTATTTCGTAGTTTCTTTCTAGCACTCTGTACTGGAAGGGCCCTTACAAGAAGCTTTCTAGCAAAGCTGAAATATGGTTTGCAAAGTTCCAGCCCCAGCATCATCAAGAGCCGTCCAGAAGGATGAGTGAAGCTGAGCCGCTGTTTAATACTAGCCATAGCCATCGTCGCTGTCTTCCAACATTTTCTATTTCATAGTTGGCTTTATCTTTCCCCTTCGTGCTTCTCACTGAAGTACTAGATATTTTTCTTATTTTCAGTGTTTATTGTCCATCTGCTTAACTAAAACATAAGCCTAATTATAATAGGAATGTGTGTGTGGTTTATCTTAATGCTTTGTTGAATGTAAAAAAAAGTTCCTGGCACAAAAGAGGTCCTTAATAATTATTTCTGAATATTAATATTGATAAGAAACATTTATGTAATAGTTATTATGTTCAAGGTTCTAGTCTATGTACTTAACATCTATTTAGTCCCCAAATAGAATTGTTTGCTAATCTATTATTATTCTTATCTCATAGATAAGTTGAGGGATGCATAAAAATATTAAGCAGCTTACCTTAGGTCACATAACTAATAAGCTCTAAAGCCAGGGTTTGAACCAAGGCAGGCTGTAGTCTGACTCATCAAGCTAAATTGAAAATACGAATGAAAATACTAAATACACTCCTTCAATTACCCATACTTGATGAAGTCTAACTATAATGTCTAAAAGCATTACCTTATGTCAGCTGTGTGAACAAGCTTAATGATTAAAAAGCAATATTGTTATTGGACCATCTTTAAAATTCTAATCTTAAAATGAAGGGTAAATACAATTGGCAACAGTCTACCCTTTGAAAGATACTTCCAACTTTAATGAAAACAAATGTCTCTGGGCTTAAATAGCATTTCCAGAGTCACAATTTCTTTGGAACTAAGCCTCCGCTTAGTTCAGTAAAACAAGGCTTCAGCCAACAACAGTAGTGCCTTCATTACTGTGATGTCCAATCGTTTGCATTATTAGCTCAGACTGCTCAGTATGGTGCACGAAAAACTTTGTATGACCCAAACATCTATTTCTCTTGTGATTAATATTTCATTAAGTATTAATAAATACAAAAAAAGAATGCCTAAAAAGAATATAATAACATTCATCTTCACAGTCACAGAGGGAGATAATCTTTCTTGATATACAGCATATATACACTACTGCAATATTTATCTTGGAGTTTTTCCCTCAAATTTTAAAACTGATTTAGAACAAAAAAAATGTGAAAAATATAGTACATTTAATTTACAAAATGAAGAAAATAATTCAGTTTCAAATGACCTGAAATCCTTTAAAACCATTCTGATATGTTTCTTCTTTCTTCAAATGAGGATGTGGGTTGTCTTGATGGCTGCGTGTATACTCACGAGAACCGAGTAGAGCTGTATTGGAGTCCAAATTGTGCATGTGGGTTGGAAGGGTCCAGACCTAGAGGGCCCCCTGCACCCTTATGCCACAACCCAGGACTCTGGTGCTTTCCTTGGATCTCATAACTTCTCCAGTGTATTTATTTACATTTGTACATCATCGTGGATTTTTTCCAGGCTTTGAAAGTTTATATAATTTGCAACAAGTTTAGTAATTTCAAAATCACAGACACTAATGGCCCTTTTAGTAAGAATAGCACATAGCACGTTTCATATTTCAACTTCACAACAAATCTTTGAGGTAAGTGTTCTGCCGTTTGTTTTAGAAAACAATGTATGGGTTTATAAGACTTAAATAAAGAACCAAGCTCATCAAGATAGTTGTTAGTAGAGAGTATGTAAACACGTGCTCCCCGCTTACCCTCTACGGTGAAGTCAAGAACCCAGAAACATGCAGGAAGAGAGAGGCAGAGATAAATTAAATAAAAGTGTTTCACTTACAATTCTATGTTCTTTAATGGTCTCTTATTGTTGTTTTTCTACTAAAATGCTTAATATTATTAATGCCAATACTTCTTTTGTAGATTGGGATTATTTTGTATCGTAGGTCAAGGATAAGCCAACTACAGGGGAGAGGAAGTGGATGGAGCTATTTTTGTGGCCTCAGCTGGGATGCTTCTGAGGGGCAGTCAGCACAGACAGACATGCCCTCATTTCTTCTGTGTCCTCTGCCAGTGCTCCAGAACTGTGGGTGAGTCCTCCCATCCACTTTGAGAAAGTGAATGGTACTTCCGCTTTCCCAAGACGCTCACACACTTTGGCTTTAATAACTGGGCTTCTTATGACGAATGTGCTGTGCAGCAGTGCACTGGTGTGGGTGCAACACCCAGGTGGAGATGAACATTCCTTGTGGGAATCCCTTATCCACTTCGCATATTCTGAGCAACACGATCTAGTCTGAAGTAACTGGCATATAGTAATGAATATACCAGGAGAGAAGGGTTGGGGAGGAAGAGAGGAGAAAGAAAGGCATTTTAAAACTCACATTGTAAGGATAAAATCACTTATACGTTTGAACTCACTGGAATACTCTTGAACATTTGGTTTGTGGTGAACTAGTCATCACCTTCCCACATCCACTTCTCATTGCTCTTCACCAAGAACCCAGGGCTAACACTTCATCAGTTAAGTGAGTCTCTGTTTTGGTTCAAATTAGAAGCTTTTTTTTTTTTTTTTTTTTTTTTTGAGACGGAGTTTCGCTCTTGTTACCCAGGCTGGAGTGCAATGGCGCGATCTCGGCTCACACAACCTCCGCCTCCTGGGTTCAGGCAATTCTCCTGCCTCAGCCTCCAGAGTAGCTGGGATTACAGGCACGCGCCACCATGCCCAGCTAATTTTTTTGTATTTTTAGTAGAGACGGGGTTTCACCATGTTGACCAGGATGGGCTCGATCTCTTGACCTCATGATCCACCCGCCTCGGCCTCCCACAGTGCTGGGATTACAGGCTTGAGCCACCGTGCCCTTGAGAATCTTCTCAGGTCTGCTGATACTCTTTTTTCTTTCCCCTCCCCCTCCCCCTCCCCCTCCCCCTCCCCCTCCCCCTCCGCCTTTCCCTTTCCCTTTCCCTTTCCCTTTCCTCCTTTCCTTTCCCTTCCTCTTTCCTTTTTCCTTTCTTTCTTTCTTTTTCTTTCTTTTGTCCTGTGACTGTCTATGCTGGGACTGAATGATTTTTCATTTGAGTCCAATTATTATTGAGTTCTCTGTGTTGGGTGTGAACCTGCTCAAAACTCATTTTAAGTACATCGGACTTTGGTTCTCTCCAAAATGCTGAATAACAGGCTGGTAGGTTGGTTTATTACTTAAATGTAGAGAGGACAGTCCTGTTTCTTTACCTTCAGCTCTGTCTCTATTCCAAGTGTGTCGGGGTGTGTGTGTGTGTGTGTGTGTGTGTGTTCTCTACTAATTTAAGAGCTCTCTTGGCTAGACATAACATGACAGCTTGTTTGCTCCTTGATTTTTTTTTTGTCCTGCGATTGTCTGTTCTGGGACTGAATGATTTTTCACTTGAGTCTAATTATTATTGAGTTCCCTATGTTGGGTGTGAACCTGTTCAAAACTCATCTTAAGTACATTGGACTTTGGTTCTCTTCAATATGCTGAATAACAGGCTGGTAGCTTGTTTTATTACTTACATATAGAGACTATAGTCCTGTTAATTTACCTTCAGCTCTGTCTCTATCCCAAGTTTGCTGTTGTGTGTGTGTGTGTGTGTGTGTGTGTGTGTGTATGTGTTCTTCACTAATTTGAGAGCTCTCTTGGCTACACTTAACGTGATAGTTTATTTTGCTTCTTCCGTCTTATAAAGATGATTCATAAGTAATGAACTGAACTGAAGAGATGCCCCACTGTACAAAGTCATGACTTAATTCATAAAATTCCATTACAATCCTTTGGAATCAGTATCCTGAGAAGCAGCTCTATGCTCACTCAAGACAATTAAACAATGTAACTTATTTGTCTTAAAATTCTGTATTTTAGAAAGGGCCTCAAGTAGAATTTTAAAAATTCCTAAATCGGGCATTTAAAATAATGTCTTTTAAATAAGCTTAATTCCGATTAAAAAAACTCAAAAGCATGCAGTAAAAATTTCAGTTATTTTATTTCATTCAGTTTTCATAATACCTAGAATAATTCTTGGTATACAGATCCTAGAAATTATTACAAATGTTTTCCACCTTTTTAAAAAAGTAGATGAATGGAAGTTCTGTGTTTAGGAATTACAGTGTCTGTTAATGACTATCTGTGGGCACTTGCTGTCTCTCAGCATCAGGTTTTTCCTCTGTACCATGAGGTGGTAAGATACAAAGTTTATTATTTATTTCATGTCAATATACTTTTTCTTTAAAAAAGAAGTTTGTAGAGAGTCTGAGAAGTTATAATGGTTGGTGGGATACGGTGGCTCACCTCTGTAATCTTAGCACTTTGGGAGGCCTAGGTAGGCAGATGACTCGAGGTCAGGAGTTTGAAACCAGCCTAGCCAACATGGTGAAACCCTGTCTCTACTAAAAACACAAAAAAATTAGCTGGGTGCAGTGGTGAATGCCTGTAATCCCAGCTACTCAAGAGGCTGAGGAAGGAGAATGGCTCAAATCCAGGAGGCAGAGGTTGCAGTGAGCAGAGATTGCGCCACTGCATTCCGGCCTGGGTGACAGAGCAAAAAAAAAAAAAAAAAAAAAAAAAAATCCTAATAGTTTACTTAATTTTAATCTTTTAAAGTACAAATGTTGCTTGACTGACAATCAGGTTATGTCCCAGTGAACCCCTTGTAAGTGTAAATTTCTTTAATAGCCTGATGAGCCCATTGTCACATCCAAAATTGTAAGTCAAAGTATCCTAAATGTAGGTGTTCCTTGACTTACGATGGAGTAACATTGGAAAAACCCATGGCAAAGTTGAAAATTATAAGTTGAATAATTTTAAATAGGAGACCATCTGTATTTCTTTTAAATCTTGCTGTATTGGGTTTGAAGGAGTAGATAATAGTCATGTTGCCTGGTTTTGCTCTGTGGCTATTTTCTTAGCTGCCTGCTGCTGGCTGTCTCATGTCTAAAGTGAATTATGGAACTAGTACTTGGAAACTGTTGTCTTGAAATTGAGGGAGTTCAACCTCCCCCTAAAATATTGGATACATTTTCATCATCAGAATACATGTTTACATAATGATAATGTGAAATATTCTTAATAATTTATATGCTTTACTTTTCATAGAAAGGAGAGTCTTGGCTTTCAAGGAAGATAGACTCGTGAAAGTATGTTTATAAATCCGAGTAGCATTGTCTGGTAGCAATATAAAAAACTTTCAAACATAACATTAAAGAGCATGAATAGCTGATAATGTTTATCAAAATTTCCTACGTAAGAGATGATATGAGAGCCTCAGATGCAATCTGCTTTAAAAACAAATGTGGCAATATGCCTAATACATATTTTCATTTCACTGGAGGATTCATTTTTAGACTTTTTGCATACATAAAGAACAAAGGGGACTGGGGCAGTGGCTCATGCATGTAATCCCAGCACTTTGGGAGGCCAAGGTGGGCAGATCACCTAAGATCAAGAGTTCGAGACCAACCTTACCAATGTGGTGAACCCCCCGCTCTGTACTACAAATACACCACCTGGTATGGTGATGGATGACTGTAATCTCATCTATTCAGGAGGCTGAGGCAGGAGAATCACTTGAACCCATTGAACCCGGGAGGTGGAGGTTGCAGTGAGCCAGATTGTGCCACTGCAATCCAGCCTGGAGAGACTCCGTCTCAAAAAAAATAAATAAATAAAAATAAAAAGATTAGTCTCATTTTAAAAATGTAAAGCTGAATAGTTTATTTATCTCTAATTTACGTTTAGCAGAATATTTTGTTAACATTTAAAAAATATGATTAGCTTGAATGTCTTACTGAGTGAATTTTATTTCTATTAATTTTTTTGTGATATTGATATCATAGTTAACTTTTTCCAATTTGCATTGTTCATTTCTTCCTATGAAAGTATAAATATTTTTTTTGCCAAAATGGACACTGCATTTTTGTGAATATTTCTGATTATATCCTAAGGATGAATTCCTAAAATGTAATTGAGCAGTGAACAGATGTGCCTGAATGTAAAGCTTTGGATGTAGCATTAACACATTTTCACCTAGAAAGCCTATGCCAATTTGTATTTCTTTTAAGCAAAACATATGTGGGAATGCATTTTTATTTTCAGGTATGTTGAACCTGAAAAATAAATTTGCTTTTTCAGTCTATGCCAATGTGCTTAGCTCAATTAAAAGGATCTTATATTTATGTGCATTTAAAAAAATTACATGTAAACCTAAATTTCTTCTCTGTGTCCTGGCTACATTGGACAGCCTATTTCTTCACTTTGTCTATGATTCTGCTAGGACATTTATCTTTCCCATCTTGATGACGAGAACATTTTAAAATTAATACCTAATATTTGTGTGTTTTTGTGGGGCACCTGTGACATTTTGATACAGACATACAATATGTAACAATGACATTAGGTATTTAGCATATCTGTTATGTCACACATCTACCATTTTTTTGTGTTGAGAACATAGTAAATCTCTTTTAGCATTTAAAAATATACAGTAGATTGTTGTTCACTGTAGTTTACCCTATTGTGCTATTGAACGCTAGAACTTATCCTTCTGTCTCACAGTATGTTTGTACCTATTGAGCAATCTCTCTTTATTCCCATACCCTTCCCAACTTCTGGTAACCCTCATTCTATTTTCTACCTCCATGAGATAAACTTTTAAAATTTTGTTTCTATGTTTTATATTAACTGAGACCAACATAGCATCTCTACTGTGTGCAAGACCAGAGCTTCACAAAATTTGGAGGAAAGAAATGCTTCCAATTAAATTTACAATATTTCCTCATGATTTTGGCATTTTGTTTGGCAGATAAAATAGTATTCTTGTAAACGGCATGATAGATCTTATTTTATTTCCATAATAATTGAGATAATTTATACACGCAAATAAATATTTAGACCACACAACTAGAGGAAATAAATATCTGTCAAGAATGTTAATATCGTGTGACCTTTGTAAACATTTCTGTAAGGCTTCAATTTTGGGGTGATAACTGTGCCTATGTAAATTTATGATCAAGGGCAATTGCAAAAATATCTGTCATGATGAAATACCGCATATTCTTCAATAGATTATTGGCCGTGAC